TTCTTTTTGTAACTATAACAATAATAGGAGGGGAGGAACATTGGCCACATTGAGACGGAACTTAATTCGCACCTTAGTTCACGTGCTCTTCTATGTAATATACCAGGACATCAGATATCAGAGAAAATTACATTACACAATATTTATTGTCTGTGTTCTGTATGTTCTGATGGAGGGACTGGCGAGATAAATTCTTGTGAGAAAAAAAAGACATCGAGAAAATTTTTAATTAACAGAATTAATTATTATTATTATTTATATTTACACATAAATAAAATTGAATTGTCTAAAAAAAAATGCTTGGTGGCATTCCTTGGGTAAGGTCTATGTTTAGCAGTGGACTTGTGAAGGGTTGTAAATGATGATGCATAATAAATACAGGTGAAGCTAAAATACAAAGTATTAAAAATCTTCCTAAAAAGCAAGGGTTGAAAATTTAGTTCGACTGGGTCATTAGCGTTGTCTTGGTCTTGGTTATTTATTCCGTGGTCTTGGTGTGTATATTTTTTCTAAAAGTAAAGTAAAGCTGGGGATCGAATCCGGGTTGCTCCTGTGCTGTAAAATTTGCGCTTAGTTCGATAATCGTGATCTAATATCACACAAACATCAGATTAAATATTAAATCTCGACTATTTTCTACAATATTACATATTATTTTACAATATGTAACGAAGCCTTCTAAGTTGTACTCATACAGTCTAATATATTATTGTCCTCTTTATACCTGTCTTATTTATTAATATACTGTGGCCTTAGTAATTAATTTTGAATATTATATACTAGCGATCCGACCCGGCCAAATGTGAATCTAAACCATCCAGAAATCTACTTAAATACACACAAAAAATTAAAATTGTCTTACTGTTTCGAGATATCTCTTGTTAAACGTCATTATGTTAAGTGAAGAATCCGTTTTGGATAGGAGTTTCATAAAATCCGTTCTTAGTGGGTGTCTACGTCGAGTACATATGTCAAATTTCAAGTGAAGCAGGCGTATTTTTTGGAGAGCTCTAAATGAGTGAGTAATCAATATATATATGTATATAGCTCTGTATTGCATTTAAATATAAAATTGTTACAATAACGGAAAAGTTATGAACCACAAACGGTGGTCATATCATTTTAAGCCATTTCTACCTGACAAATCGAACGTAAAAGGACATTGCAGTTTCATATATAATGTCTGGAATGAGGGTAAAAATAAAAGGAAATACGAACAAATGAAGGTAGAATGTTAATCTGTCACTTGTTTTAGTAGTATAAAAGTGCCGTTGTGTATGCCGTGGTTTGTGAGTGCCATGTCACACAGTTGCCATTTCTTAAGAGAATGTGTGGTGAACATTGTAAGTCCCGAATTCTATGCTTCGCAATACATTTATCTTCATTTCTTTTAATTTTTAATTTTGCAAAGCAGATTATTTATTTGTTTCATGCACCTGAAACGTTTTACATCTGTTTCAATCTTAAATTACTTTGGATATGTATTTTACGAGACCTGTGCTGGATGTACTTAAGTGCACTCTTGTGCATCTGACGCAGTTGTTTCCATGTCTTTTGCTTTTTACATTAATATCTAATAAGTAAAAGGTTTCAGGTATTAATTAACTTTGTGCCTATGTCAACAGCCACTGTAAGGTATGTGAATTGGTGCCTATGACAACAATGTTGAAGTCTGGACAGCTCGCTGGTGCTGGTGCGGCGCGACAGTTCGCTGGCGCGAGTATAGTTAGACGCGAACGCAGCACATCGCTCGCTGGAGCGCGTTTAGCTGAGGGTCCTGTCTTCAGTGACAGGCCCCTCAGCTATCTGTGCCGTATGCGCAGTGTTTCTCAGAAAAAATTGTGATATCTAAGACGTGCGTTAAATTCTAGTGGGAAGCGTTGTATACAAAAATTTTATTTGGACGATGTTTTTAATTCTGTAAAAGTTTAGTCTGTATGAAATGTATTCAAGAGCTCACTCATTGTGTGCCGATGAATAACAATTGGTAAAGATTTGAAAACAAGACTTCATCGTTTCATGGTCAGAAAGGGCCGAGACCGTTATGCGGACGTAGTGCCTAGGACTTTACTCAGACGACATGTTGTGGTAAGGTAGAGCCATTGCCAAGCGCGTCGTCTGTGACCTACGTGGTGCCTGCATCTCCCATGCCGTTAATGGAGACAAATATTTAAAGCTAAAGGAAGCTCAAGAACGGACTCCTTTCAGGAGAGGCAGTGTCGGGAATGAGGAAAAAATAAAAAGAAATACGAACAAATGAAGGTAGAATGTTAATCGCCCACTTGTTTTATCTTTTTTATATTTTCTTCTTTTTTTTATCGTGCAGGCCACTAAGAAGATCAGTCTGTAATTCTTTGAGTCCTACTGTCGTTACTATGCTCGTTGGTGTATTCTACTAGTGTACGCAAGGAAGGTCGCGTTGCTGAGAAGCTGCCCTGTGTTACATTAAGATGGGTAGTGATGCTGTAGGTTTACATACTTTGGTGTTATCATGTAATTGGGTCCTGATAATAAGCAGGGTTTGTTACCGAGTAGTGTACTGTTATTTAAATACTTTTGAGAAGAATTTCTTACATCAGAAGTGGGATTGAAGCCTTTTTCTGTAACTATACATTGTAATTTCTTACAATAGATTATATATATATATGATGACCAAACAGTACAAATTACTGTGGATTGTCATCAACTGTAGATATTATTTTAATACTGAAATATAATACAGCTTTTATTATGCAGTGATTGTAATTATATACTAATTAATTGTATCATCATCAGCATTACAGCCCTTCACAAGTCCACTGCTGAACATAGGCCTCCACCAAAGAATGCCACAAAGCACGGTCCTGAGCCAACTGCATCCAACGACTTCCTGCATGTCTTACCAGGTCGTCACTCCATCTCGTGGGGGGACGCCCTACACTTCGCCTACCGGTACGAGGCTGCCACTCGAGAACCTTTCTTCCCCATCGGTTGTCGGTTCTTCGAGCTATATGGCCGGCCCATTGCCACTTCAGCTTACTAATCCGTTGGGCTATGTCGGTTACTCTGGTTCTACTGCGGGGTATCCTCATTCCTAAGTGTATCACGCAGAGAAACTCCGAGCATAGCCCTCTCCATAGCTCGCTGAGCGACCTTGAGCTTCCTCATCCGGCCAGCAGTGAAGGACCACGTCTCAGTTCCGTATGTCATCACTGGCAACACGCACTGGGTGTACAGTCTCGTTTTCAAGGTTTGAGGTATACCTGACGAGAAGATGTCCCGTAATTTCCCGAACGCTGCCCAACCGAGTTGAATCCGTCGATTGACCTCTCGGTCGAAGTTGGACTTACCTAGTCGGACTGTTTGTCCCAGGTAAACATACTAGTCAACAACTGAGAGCTTAGTGTTCCCAACAACTACCGGCATAGGTGTGACATGGACATTAAACATGATCTTAGTTTTGTCCATGTTCATCTTAAGACCTATCCGTTGGGAAACACTATTGAGGTCATTGAGCATAGTGCTTAGGTCCTCCAGCGATTCAGCCATAAGGACTATATCGTCGGCAAATCGAAGGTGAGTGATGTACTCGCCATTGATGTTGATACCGTATCCTTTCCAGTCCAGAAGCTTGAAAACGTCTTCCAATGCAGCGATGAAGAGTTTTGGGGGATATGACGTCACCCTGTCTTACACCTCTCTGCAATTGGATAGGTTTCGTACTCTGGTTGGTTTCTGGTCTGGTGGTGTACTCGGATAGTCATCGTAGCCCTACTGTACAAGCACTTCAACACTTCGATATATATACCGACAGTCAACTTGGCACCGCTGTAGGGACTGCAGCACCGCCCAAATTTCGACGGAATCAAAGGCTTTCTCATAGTCCACATACGCCAGACATAGTGGCAAATTGTACTCTTCGAACTTCTGTACAATTTGCCGAAGGGTATGTATGTGGTCTATGGTGCTAAAGCCCCTTCGGAAACCGGCTTGTTTGGGAGGCTGGAAGTAGTCAAGTCTGCGCGCGAGACGATTCGTAATGACTCTCGAAAACAGCACGTAGACGCGGCTCAGAAGGGAAATCAGTCTGTAGTTCTTCAAGAGAGCGTTGTCACCTTTCTTGAAGAACAAGACAACCGCACTTCTGCACCACGCCTGCTGTGTAATGCCACCATGGAGGACGGAATTAAAGAGCCTCTGAAGGACTTCAAGTACCGGTTTTCCACCCGCTTTCAGAAGCTCCGCTGTAATTCCATCCTCGCCTTGGGCCTTACCGTTTTTAAGGTGCTGGAGAGCCATTCTAATCTCGCTCAGACTGACGTCCGGGATATCTTCGGAATAGTGTCGGATGAGACTCGCTCTTGGATCGTTACTCACACTTGCGTGCGGCTCCAACGATGACGTGTACAACTGCCCATAGAACCTCTCAATCTCACTCAAAATCTCAGGTGTCCCGGAAACGATGCTGCCACATTCTGTCTTCAGCTTTGACAGTTGGCTCTTTCTGGCAGACAGATCTCTGGCAAAGACTTTGGAGCCTTGGTTCCGCTCGATCGCATCTTCAATACGAGCTGTATTGAAGTTGCGTAAGTCCCGCCGCATGCATTTGGAGATCTGTCTGTTCAGATGCCTGTATGCTGTCAAGTCTGTTGAAGAATGTAGCTTCATCTCCCGTCTAACAGCCATGAGATTAAGAGTGTGATCGGAGAGTTTTTGTGTTCTTCTGCGGCGGGTCTTGCAGAACTTAGCTCCGACCGCATGGACAGTTTCCACGAGCTTGTCATTCATATCGTCCACTTCATTGCAGTCTTCTAGGCACTGAAAACGGTTTTGTAACTTGAGCTGAAAGGTTTCGGGACTTTGGATTAGAGCACGGTTTAACGGTGGTAGAGCCTTGCAGCAGCTTTTGCTGTTGCACGTATGGGCCGGCTCGAGCCGGGTTAGTACCACGACCTCACAGAATACCGGCGTGAAGTGGAAGCTCTGCTTCCGCGTTTCGTCTGGTTAGTGCAGGTGACCGGATGCCCAATTCCCCCCCCCCCCCCATCAACATGGTAGCGGAATTACGTCAAAAACTACCCCAGGAGGGTACCAGTACCCCTGGAGAATCCCTCGCTGAGCATCCACGACCATGCTATTCCACTCCTGAGCGTGGGTGCTCAGGCTGCCCCGCGTATTCTGGGTGGGGCAAAATTCCGCTCAACACAATAACTGCTCGGGGCAAACTGAGCAACAAGACCAAGGCGACCCCTGCCACGCTATCCGTGAATTTCTGCAACATCAGGGGACTTCACTCGAACCTAAACGCCGTCCACTACCATCTTGAGACGGCGAAGCCGGCCTTGCTCTTTCTGACCGAGACGCAGGTGTCCTCTCCGGCTGATATTTCGTATCTCTCCTACCCGGGGTACAAATTGGAGCACTCCTTTGTGCCTCGGGCTGGAGTTTGCGTGTATGTCAGAGAGGACATCTGTTCTCGACGCCTCGGCAGTCTTGAAGGTTCGGACCTGTCCATCCTTTGGCTACGCGTAGACAGCGACGACCATCCGCGCGTCTATGTGTGCCTCTATAGGTCCCATAGCGGTAATGCCGAAACAGACCGACTCATCGACCACGTCCAAATGGCTACAGATTCCTTGCTACAACAGGTCCCATCCGCAGAGATCGTGATCCTTGGCGATTTTAACGCCCACCACGCCGAATGGCTCGGTTCACGTTTAACCGATCATGCGGGGAGATCTGTTTATGACTTTGCCTTGGCATATGGTCTGACACAACTGGTTACATCGCCTACGCGGATTCCAGATGTTGAGGATCATACACCTTCCCTGTTGGACCTTCTGCTGACCTCTCATCCGGACGGATATCAGGTTTCTGTCGATGCCCCTCTTGGCTCTTCAGACCATTGTCTGATCCGGAGTGTGGTGCCACTCACGCTCCCTTCGCGGTTGCGTTCTGCAGGTTGCCGCCATGTTTGGCATTACAGGTCGGCGGATTGGGACGGAATGCGGTCTTTCTTTGCTTCCTACCCATGGGGGCGGGTTTGCTTCTCGCCGGATGATCCCAGCGCTGTTGCTGACTCTGTCACTGATGTAGTGCTACAGGGAATGGAACTATTTATTCCATCATCTGTGGTACCCATCGGAGGCAGATCTCAGCCTTGGTTTGGTCGCTCCTGTAAGACTGCATTACGCAGTAAGCAGGAGTGTTATCAAGCCTGGGCTGCGGCTTCGGTGACTCGGGATGTAAACACCAGCACACTCAAAAAGAAGTATAACTTCGCCTCCAGGTCCTTCAAAAGAGTTATTGCCAAGGCAAAGTCAGAGCACATAGGCAGAATTGGCGAGGAACTAGTTCGCCTTCCTTCGGGAACCCGTGCATTCTGGTCTCTCGCCAAGGCTGTCCAAGGGAATTTCTGTAAGCCATCACTACCATCTCTGCACAGGGAGGACGACTCACTGGCCCACGACGCAAAAGAGAAGGCCGACCTTTTAGGCTCCCTTTTTGCGTCCAACTCGACTGTTGATGACGGGGGGAACACACCGCCGACCATCCCGCGGTGTGAGTGCTCCATGCCGGATGTGCGATTCTCACAGCGCTCGGTTCGCAGAGCACTCCTCTCCCTTGACATCCACAAGTCGAGTGGGCCTGACGGAATCCCCCCAATTGTGCTGAGGACGTGTGCTCCGGAGTTGGCACCGGTTCTAACGCGTCTTTTCCGGTACTCCTACTCCCTAGGCGTAGTCCCGAAATCATGGAAGACAGCTTTTGTCCACCCGATCCCTAAAAAAGGCGACCGCTCAGATCCGTCCAACTACAGGCCTATCGCCATCACCCCCTTGTTCTCCAAAATAATGGAATCCGTTGTAAACTGCCACCTCATGCGGTACCTTGAGGATCACCAGCTGATTAGTGACCGCCAGTACGGTTTTCGTCGGGGTCGATCAGCTGGTGATCTTCTGGTCTACTTAACTCATAGATGGGCGTTGGCAGTAGAGTCCAAGGGGGAGGCATTGGCCGTTAGTTTGGACATTGCGAAGGCCTTCGATCGGGTTTGGCACAAAGCGCTTCTTTCGAAGCTCCCTTCCTATGGGCTTCCCGAGAAATTATGCAATTGGATCACCAGCTTTCTTGCAGATCGGAGCATCAAGGTCGTTGTAGACGGTGCATGCTCCGACTACAAGCCTATTAACGCTGGTGTTCCACAAGGCTGCGTGCTATCACCAACGCTGTTTCTTCTGCATATCAATGATATGTTGCAAGCTGGTAGCATTCATTGCTATGCAGATGACAGCACTGGTGATGCTCTATACACCGGCCGTGCCAATATTTCTCGGGAAAACGTCACCGAGTACCGGAACAAACTTGTGTCTGAAGTCGAGTCTTTGCTGGACAAAGTCTCGGATTGGGGGCGACTAAATCTAGTCCAGTTTAATCCTCAGAAGACACAAGTTTGCGCGTTTACCGCTAAAAAGAACCCCTTTGTCGTATCTCCTCAGTTTCAAGGTACTCCCCTTGTTGCCTCAGCCAGTATCGGAATCCTTGGCGTCGACATATCGAGTAGCGTGCAGTTTCGTGGTCACTTGGAAGAGAAGGCCAAATTGGCCTCTAAAAAGCTTGGCGTGCTCAGCAGAGCGGGACAGTATTTCATGCCGGCTCAACGCCTGCAACTTTACAAGGCGCAGGTTCGGCCTCACATGGAATACTGTTCCCATCTCTGGGCTGGGGCTCCCCAGTGCCAGCTTCTTCCACTTGACCGCATCCAGCGCAGAGCGGCTCGAATCGTCGACGACCGAGTCCTTTCCGATCGGCTCGACTCATTGGCACTGCGAAGAGATGTTGCATCTCTTAGCATTTTCTTTCGCATTTACCATGGGGAGTGCTCTGAGGAATTGTTCGGATTAATCCCAGCCGCCAAATTTCACGAACGCACATCGCGGCAGAACTCCCGATACCATCCACACCATCTGGATGATTGGCGGTCCACCACTGTGCGATTTAGAAGATGTTTTCTTCCTCGCACAACTTCCTTGTGGAATAGTTTACCACCAGCGATTTTTCCGGACCGATACGACTTAGGGACCTTCAAGAAAAGAGCCTACTCCTTTTTAAAAGGCCGGCAACGCATCTGCAATTCTCCTGGTGTTGCGGTTGTTCATGGGCGGCGGTAGTCACTTACCATCAGGTGAGCCGCATGCTCGTTTGCCCCCTCTCCTATTAAAAAAAAAAAAAAAAACGAGGGGGAAGGAGCGTTGACTTCATTAGACGAGACCTCTCCAACTTAACGTTTAGGTTCAGTGTGCCTCTAACCATTCGGTGATCGCTACCAGTTTTCACCCTCGCGATCACGGAGACATCACTGAACAGTTGTCGTCTGGTTGTCATAATGAAGTCAATCTCATTTTTTGTCGAACCGTCGGGGCTCGACCAGGTCCACTTCCTGTGGGGCCGCTTCTGGAAGAAAGAGTTCATCATAAAGAGTCCCTCTTTCTCCATAAAGTCGGCCAGCTGCTGGCCCCTTGGGTTCCGTTGCCCTATTCCAAATTTCCCTACTTTCAGCTCACCGTTCTCTCTTGTGCCTAGTTTTGCATTAGTCTCCCATTAACACCGTATACAAGTCTCCCATTAACACCGTATATTGGGTTTTGGAGGAATGCATGGCTCTAGAGATATCCTTATACATTTCCTCCACCTCCTCATCGGGGTGTGCCGAGGTTGGTGCGTAAACCTGTATGACCTTCAGCGAATACCGTTTTGTGATTCTGAGTATAACGTACGCAACCCTCGTCGACACACTCCCGATCTTTACAACGTTGTTAACGAGAGACTTGTGGACGATAAATCCGACACCTCCTTGGGACAGATGGTCGCCCTCCCGGTGATAGAGCAAGTTGCCGGATTCGAGGATTACCGTGTCCTCCCCCTCTTTTCGGACTTCGGATAATCCTATAATATGCCAGCGTAACTTGTCTATCTCTTCTTCCAGCTCCACAATCTTCTCGTCAGTCCTCAGGGTGCGTGCGTTGTATGTTGCCAGGTCGAGTCGATAATAAAGTTACATTTCATACGAGCACAGTTGCATAACTTTAACAAGATCGATGAAATAATTGAGGAAAAATCAAGCCTAACCTTATTTTCAAGCCCTTTATGAACTTTACCTTCCCTCCATCCGTCCACGATTGCGCACAAAACACGAGTTTGAGTGACCAAGGTACCAGGACAACAAAAAGCGAAAGAAATTATATAACTCGCATCCACCATATAGTCTTTAACTTGTACCCTTACATTTTCACCTGTTTCGGTCTCTTCAGAATTCTTTGGATAGCATTAGTTTAACATCAAGATAGGACTGTCAAAACTACTTGTCTTTATAAAAATCCCAAGATTCGATTCGATTCTACAGCAACGGGATTTTGTCACCACCTACAAAATGGCAACAAGTTAGCGAACAAATTGCCCATATATATAATTATATGTAATTAAATTTTGAAAAATATTTATAGTCTTGAATTTGAATATAAAATATGAAGAAACTTTTTCCCCGACCCATTATAACAAATATCAAACTATAGAAAACTTTTACAGTCTTTGATTTTTAACATATAAAGAAGGAGCAATGCAATTTAGCGGTTTAAAAGGTAGTTTCGAATACAGTAGCGAACACGTGAGCCTCTCGATGAATGGACTAGAACTTCATAATTTTGGGGAACTACATAATTGTTCATGGTCAATTCCAAGAGATTTTCCTATCCTTTGCTACAGACAATACATAATAGGCAACAGACAGAAATAATTGGGGGTCGAACAGGTGTTTAAAGTCACATTTAAGGATCTAATTTAAAGTTGTACACACGAAAACACTCACCCCATCTCATGCAAAACCAAATAAATAATAAAAATAAATAATAAAATAGACCAAATAAATAAGAAGATACGAGTATATATAAGTTATAATATAATATAAGTTAAAGCAAAAAATGCACAACATACGTTCACAAGAACTAATACGTCCATGGTATATCATAAGTATTTTATTTAATCACAATATATCAGAAGTCTCTTTTTCTGGCTGACAGTTACAAAAAGTCGCTATACATTCATCATGTCATCATTCATATGATATTCATGCAGGCGAAAAATAGTTACAAACATCACACCTGCCTTTTGAATTTGTTTAATAATAGAAATTTTTGTTTAATAACCAAATAACAAAATTGTAATAAAAATTAGTATTAAGTACATACTTACAGCAGTGTTAGTTAATATTTTATATTCGATTCGAGCTAAGTCCAGCTAGTCTTTTTATAAAAGAATTTACAGAACACGTGAATTGCATCCAGAATGTACTAGGACATCAGAAACTGACAAAAGTAAGGTCGATTTATATTTCCATTTAAGCATTGTCTCTAACAGTATCTATTAGACGGCAGAAATAGGCAAATAGATAAGAGGTTGGACTACCCAGATGGACACCTTACCTGCGTCTTCGTGTGTATAATAATGGTAAAAAAAGATGGCAATTGAGACGACACAACATAATGAAAGCCCAAAGCGCTGTATATGAAACAGTACCAAAACGGCCAAAGCTTACGATTCTCAAGAATGCAAGCGATAATCGTATTTTTCTGATTCGAATCGGACGCAGTGCACAATCGATTTACGAATTCACTTCAAGTTTTCGAGATTTGTGTTTACTCAGATTTGATTCTGATTTTGGGATCGGAAGCAAAAAATACTCCATGGTTAGGTTAGCTGAAACAAACATATCTAATATAAAAAAAAAATATGTTTGTTTGTTCGTCTTTTATGCGTTGCCATACCTAGCTTGCGGTAAAACTTTGTCAACTTATTGCTTGCACTTGCGCGAATGTTATTATACATATGTATATGTCATAGACATAGTACAATTAACTTGCGAAAAATTTATTTGAAACTCAATATAACTCTTACAAATTTAAAATGATATTTCCATAATTATTCCTTCTGCGGCTGCAAAGCGCCGGGTATCAGCTAGTATTTAAAAATTTCGCTATAAATTAATTAATTGAAAAGAAATTTTAAACAACTGGTAATGATTCATAGGGGATTTTTTTTTTAAATTCAAATTATGTATACTTGAATGATGATTGAGCCGTGATAGTCGTCTGTCAACACAGCTTGAGGCAGCAGTGCCGCGGAATTTTTCTTGCTCGAAAATGCCTCCTACGAAGGTGGTCATAATTCCAATAAAAAGGTCTGTGTACTGCAATGGAACGTATCTCGACTGCTGCTTTAATATTTGGAACTTTAATTTTTGATATATTGGAAATTTTATAAATATTCTAATTTTATCTTTCCATTAGTATAACACGGCTTATAAATGAAATAAAATATTTATAACATTTATTACAGTGTCATTAGTTGAACTATTTTATGGCGTGTAAAAAACTGATCGAACGGATAGAAAAGGAAGCAATACCTGATGGTAAGTGATCACCGTCTCCCAAGAACATCGTAACATCAGAGGAATTGCAGGTACGTTGTCGACCTTATAGAAAGTAGTAAGCCCTTTTCATGAAGTCCCCTTGTAAAACGCACGGTAGAGGACTGCCAACCAATGCGATGAAGTGGGAGGAATTTAGGTTTCTGTCGAAAAGTACGGTGGTGGAATTCGGATGGAGGCAGTCCGTTTTATTATTCAAAAGTAAGAACAAAAGAAGAACTTTTGGGATGGGGAATAAGCAACTCGCGTGACCGTCACACTCTATATATACATAATTTAAAATTAAAATTTTGTACAACCGACTTCAATATAAATTATTAAGAATAACTCAAAAACTATAGGTTAGACCTTGATCAATTTATATGGGACGACATGAGAAGCAGCCTTTTGGGCAAGCTTTCAGCGTGCGGCTTATCCTCTGACCCAATTGACTGGATGAAGGACTTTCTCTCAGTGTGATCATCAGCCGGGTTCAATAAGCAACTAGGGAGTAGCTGCAGCTGCAATTACACAACTGTCCATTTCGGATGCTCGAGGAATTATGATGGCTCGGCCTGCCTCGGGCCTCTCAGTTCCGGACAATACTATTGTGACTGCCTCGAGCCGCACACCGAGGTTGCTCCACGAGCCTGTGCGCTAGGTGGGTACCCGGCTCTACTCGTCCAGTCCTATCGCAACAAACCCCGGAGTTCCTCAGGAGTCCGTTCTCTCAGCAACTCTCTTCCTGCTGCATATTAATGATCTACTTGTTCACGGTATATAGTACCAGCCAAATGCTCAAGCCTGTCGGGATCAAATCCAGTCCGCAAGAGAACCCATGATTGAGCGCGCGAATCTCTCACTGGTGGCAGTATCCGAATGGTGCGATGGCAATCTCGTGAGATTCAACGCCTCCAAAATACAAGTGTGTCTTTTTACCGCTAAGAGGAGCTGCTCACCGTGGCTCCTACGTTCCGGAATAATTCCTCGGAGTATATTGTATTCAGACGAAAAGATCTATCTTTCCATCTGGCACGAAGTAAATATCACACACACTTCTTTTCATCCTTGCATTTTACAGTTTTCGTCTACCTCCAAGATTTTCCTTTTTTGAGATTTTTTTTTGATTTGATTCTCCGTCTTTCCGAATTAATTTTTGCCAAACTTAACTCTGAAGAAAAATGAAGCAAGGAAAAGCAAGTTTACCTAACCTAAGTCTAATACCTAACCAAATATGTCTATAAATAAACGGCTTGAGATGATTACAATGAATTAATTGATTGTAATAATAATAATAATAAGGCGGACGTTGTCAAAAGTAAATGATGCAGTCAGTACAAAATCTTAAAAATTATTTTTTGTAGCATATGTTTCAAGTTCCCAAATAACAAATTTTCAACGCAAATAGATTTTACAATATCAATATAAATAAAAACTTTAAAAATCTGTGGATAAGAAACTAATTTCAAGAAAAAATGTATTTCTTTCAAATTGACAACTGTCATATAAGAAATTTTAGAAACAGATTTATAAAATATTTAATTTAACGTTACATTATTCATCGAACGAGACGACAAAGACGAATAAATACCGCCAATACCACAATCGCACACGTAACATCGCCTACGGAGGACTACACATCCATGGAATGTAATCCTAGAGGCACAAGAAGAACCCCCGTACCATCTTTGAGGGGACGAAGAGCGCCAC